AGTAAGGATAGAGAGAGAAGCTTATAGAAAGAGAGCCAATACCACTTAAGGAGCTGAATTTATCAAAAAAAACTTAGGCTGCATGTTACGAGGTTAGCAGATGCTTTATTACAGTGTTAATCTTAGAACCTGATTAAGAAATATGCACTGAGGTGTGTGGTCAACAGGCCTTGGTAGTGTATTTTGAAGAAATTGGTTGAGTTTGGGTCATAGCTATGAGCCATACGGCACAATGAATGAGTGTGTAAGGAAGAGGCTTTTATTTTGTAGGTTCCCTTTAGTCTTATTTTGATAGTCTTTCATGGATGTGTGTCAAGGGAAGGGTCAGCAGTGATATAGAATCCATTTCTAAATATGAAATCACTGGTTTTCCATGTTATTGGGTGAATAGATGCTGTATTAGAGCGTAAATGGGAGACTTTTATTGTGAAATTCGCTCTGGGGTATGTTTTGAAAAGGTTCCTAGAGTCTAATAGAAACAAGCTGGTAGAGTTTGGGTCATAATGCTGAGCCATTTGCATCAATTACTGCACGAGTATAACATAGAGGCTTTTATTTTGTAGGGTAACTGGAGTCTTATTTTGAAAGTTTAGCAGGGTTGTGTGTTGAGAAAAGGGTCAGACCCAGCAATGACACTTGATGACTTTTCAATCATTAAATCACTCTTTTCCACTGTTATTAGGACAGGAGATGAAGTGGCAGTGGGAGGCTTTTATTTGAAATTTGCTGTGGGGTGTGTTTTGAAAACCCCCCTTAAGTGTAATTTAAAAATAAGTGGTTGAGTTTGGGTCATAATGTTGAGCCATATGCTGGGAAAAAAATATGAGTTTAATGTAGGGGCTTTTATTTTGAAGGGTCCCCGGAGTCTTATTTTGAAAGTCTATCAGGGTTGCGTGTGAAGGGAAGGGTCATGGCCAGTAGTCATATTGTATCCACTTCCTAATGTTAAATCAGTGTTGTCTCCCTCCATTAGATTAAAATGTGCTGTTTAAAGTGGCGGAGGTAAAATCTCTTTGAAGCACGGTTACCCCGACGACGTTAACGAGCCTGTCAGTGACAGAGAGACATGCGCTTCACTTTCGTTCCTTTCCTCTCAGGCTTTTTTGAATGGGAATATCAGCTCCGAACAAACGAGTGCTGAAGACAAACCGTAAATGATTTCTAAAAAATTCTTTCAGTCTAAGTGACAGCTTATCTTTGTCTCAGATTGGAATAACGTTCATGGCTGTAGCTCATTCACAGCCTTAATGGGAAGGAGAAATATAAAGGTTTGTAAATCCTGCTGGTCTCATTAAATAACATGGAGTTCCATGGTAGAGGTGAGCTGTCAAAAGCAAAACTTCCCCTCCGAACAAACGAGTGGTGAGCCAAAAATCGTAAAAGGTATTCAAAAACTTCTTTCACCGTGGACATTAGCCATCCTTCAGCTTCGACTGTGCCAACTTTCTTGTTTCTACTAAAAACTATTTGGCCACGGTGACGATGTAAAAATTTGCATTTTCTGAGTTTGAGGATTTTTCTCAGAATCAACGTTTTCCTATGCACGAACAAGTTAGCTAAACAGCTAAACCATAAATGATATTGAAGAAATTCCTTCAATGTGAGTGCTAGAAGGGTCTGAAGATGTTCTATACCAAGTTTCATGTTAGTACATCATATAGTTAAGAAAACGGAGCGATACGAAAATATGTATCGTTTTGGATTTTGTCTGTGATCTTTGGAAAATCTTTCATTGGATTTCTATTGGGGAAGTGTGGACTTCTTCGTGGTCTGGGCCAAACTGTCGGAAAACTGTAAATGCCACACAAATGAGGCTTACATTTCCTGAATCCTGACAAAAATCCCTACATTTTGATGTATAATTTATTTCAATTGAGTGAAAAATGAGGGAGTGAGAAGAATTTGTTCGGAAAAACCAGAACAGCTCAAAAGATAGAGCACGCACTCTTGCAGTTGAAGAATTCCGTCCATAGACTTCCATTATAAATCTGAAAATCTTTAAATTTTCTTTAAAAGTTTGAAGCTTCACTGAAGCAAAACTGTAAAAGTTAGCAAAAAGCTGAGTTAAACAGTAATAGCAGAAAGATACGGAAACATTTTAAAAGTTGAATGGTGTTTCTAACTGAAAGTATGCTGAAGTAGTTAAAGGTCGAAGATGATAAAGTTTTAGCTGAATTTAGCTGAAAACTAAGAATTCTACATGCATTTCAATGGGACAAAAAAAATGCAGAAAAAGCAGAATATTGCGAAAACTACAAAAAATATCTTTACCAAAAGACATAGCACAATTCTCCTGAACAGGCTGAACGTTTTGATACCAAAATTGTTGAAATCGGTTGAAAACTGCGGGACTAGTTAGAGTCAGAAAAATTTTAAGTGAACAACAATAAGTGGGAATGCATAAGCATTCCCACTTGATTATGTAATCAGGCGGGAGTCCTTAGATATACATTTTCTGAATTACTTTTAACAATTAGCTACACCTCAATGTTGTCTTTTGATAACTGGGCTCAATTTGCAATTTGATTAGATGCATACTCCATGTATTCAGTAAAACATTCTTTAAATAAAATGATCTGACTGAATGGAATGAATATGTTAAGCCATAAAATAGGATAATTAGATATTATGCACTTGAAATAAGAGACTGCAGTTGTTTTTCTTATTTTAAATGTAAGGTTTCTTATTCCATTGGCAAGATGTTTCAATTGTCTGCTCAATTCAAGAAAAAATGCACTTAATTTAAGAATAATTCACTTATTTAGATAAAATTTTTGCAGTGTATTACATTCAGGTTTGGCATTTTACTTTTTCATTATAACATAAGAATATACTGTGATACAAGCAACTTTGTTGCTCTTTCTCAGTGATGTTTCAACTGCTAAGACCTGAACCTCCACCAAAGGTTCTTACAGTTTTGTCAGGATTTGGTTGTGGTTTGAGGACCCAAATGCAGAGGCAGGGAGGCAGAGGTGAGTTTCTTGTTGATTTAATTAAATGTTAACAGACAACTGAGGCAGGCATCAAAAAATCCAAAAATCAAGCATGAAAAAAGAAAAACACACCAGAAACCATGGAGACTTCAGGAACGAGGAAGACACAGTGAGAAGGAGTTGGGGGAAGTTAGACGAGGAACCAGCACTGAGGAACTGCACAAGGAGTGTATTTATTGGAGACTGAACAAAGAGAGGACTAAGGAGCATATTGTGAGCAGGTGTGAACATAGCAGACTGGAAATGAGCTAGTGAAAAAGGAGAACACTAGAGGGCAACAGAGGGCAACAAAAAAAAACTGAAAACCTAAAATATTACTGGAAAACACCACAAAATAAGAATTAAACCAATAAAACTAGAAAACATGGAGCAAAGTAAAACTGAATACTCAAAAGAAAACATGACAGAACCAAGACTGTGACAAGTTTCTTTTTTAATGAGAATTGTCAGCTTGGGGGAAAACATACCCATGTCATGATACTGCCACTACCATCCTTCATTAGCGGGATGGTCAGTCTAATCCACAAACAAGAGGCTCTTTTTATTTATTTATCTAAAACGTGATCAAAAAAATTATTTTCCTTTGATTTATTAATTCCTAAAAAAGTGTTCATGAGGAGGGAGCTCATGTGCAGGGAAGCAGACAGATTTCCTCTGTTATGCTTGAAAAGTTCAGTTTAGGCAACTGGACGTGGAGTTTGTTCCCTAAACGGAACCTTCAAGCTTGACCAGGACCTGGATGACTGAGAATCTTCACAGACATGTCCCTTTATTATGCATGCAGCAAACCCAACAAAGGTTGTAGAGAAATACCTACATCATGGTTATTAAACCTTTATCAACTTGTGATGGGTAATAGAGAGTTGATAGATGTGGTATCATCTAAAAGTCAGATGAAAACAAATATATATATATATATATATGTCACCAACTAAAGATAATGAACTTAGTATTTATGTCTCTCTTTGTTATATAAAAATCCATTAGGATGTGCAAGTCTAATGTTCCTAGTGAACAGGGTTGTTTACAAGCTCTTTATTAAATAGAGGCATGTTGTAATGCTTCTAAATCCCCAAGCTGCATTGTCACATTGTGTTTCTGATGCTGCACTGATTGGGGCTGTTTTTAGCAAAGCTGCTCAGTAAGAATAAACTGAGAATGAGGGCATAATACACAAAATGAAGGCGCTTCAGCTAAACCGCTAAAATCAGTTCTCTGAAGTGATTTAGATAATTTTACAGTCCGACTGACAAACCAGTCAAGTGAGAATAAGCCCCATAAATCAGATGCATCTAAAAGCTGTGAATGGTAGCTAAATGAAGAATCAAATTCACAAAGCAACTTGTCATTTTAATTTGTACATCTTATTAAAAGGGCCCTTTTTATTGAATTTGGGAGAAGGTCATGCCAGAAGCCTTCATAAAGAGCCCTCCGATACCAATCAGAGGGGAGAACTAAACATGTGAAAATGACATAGCTAAATGTCAGAGGGTGCAAACATGCTGAATTTTTTTTTCATCTTTTGCTGTACATTTCTGTTTAGATGAGAAAATGTGCATTGGCAAAATTAATGGAATGCCATCTGATAAATCAGAAAAAAGGGAATCTTTTTTCCTTGCTGTATTCAGTAGATTTAAATGTTCATCATTCAGATGAACTCTTTATATGCTCTAATGCCCTTCAACCTTTATGTGCCTTCGTAAATAGCTCTTGCAAATAGTAAGGCTGTGATACATATTTTAATAACTCTCTCTGACTAAACACAGATTATTTAGCCAATAGCTTTGCTTAATGTACAGCGGTCTATTAGTTTAAGCTGCTTTTCCTGTAACTCTGTGACTGAGAAAAACTCTGACTGACTCCTGTAACCTTTTGCCTTTTTAACTCACAAAGCATTTGTGTTCTTTCTATAAATTCTTGACAGTAGGTGGAGTCACATTCACTAAAACACCTCTAGAGATGTCATCTCCGCCTAACCACCACCACCTCCACTGCCACCCACCACACACACCTACTGTACCTCTTAGAAAAGAAAGATGAGGAGAGAGAGTAGGGGGAGAAGGAAGGGAAAGGAGAAACACCAAGAGGAGGAAATACAAATCAGAGAGCCATAAGCTTCTTGAAATGAGCTTGTTGAGGTGTGAGAAAACAGAGAGAAAAGGAGAAAAACATTTTGTACAACAAAGACTCTGGAAAGGGAAGGGCTGGAGAAATTCTCCCTCTCTGCTTTTTGTTGCGAGAAGTGGAGAGTGTTTGACAGTTTCCCCTCCAGCGCTCGACAGCAACCAGAGTCAGAAGGAAGGATTTTTTTTCTCGATCCCACCTCCATGAGTGGAATTACATTGACGAAGTGAAGCAGCGCAACGCTACTGACAAGAGGTGCTGAAAGAAGGGTATAAAGCCTTGGGGGGCAACTGGAGAGTGCTAAAGTGATGGAGGCTAACTCTAAAAAGCATCGATTTAGGAAGGGTCGCAGTGCCACCTTCAGCATTGATGGCTTCAATATCACCATCGGTAAGCAGAAGCATGCAAAGCAGGAGGGAGCTGTTTACATGTGATCTCAGTGTAGAAAAAAAGTATGTGAAGAGAGCAAAAACAAATGTCTGCCTGCTATCAGTACATCTGTGCAATGAGCCATAGCACCAACTTAACATCTGTTTGAAAAGATACCAGTTCTACATCTCTGCGGAGATTAAAACAGTAGTTCATTTAGGCGAAGTTATTGCTTGTGACTGTAATGCAACTATGGAAACAAGGAGACTTAGAACTAAAGCTGAGTGCAGCTGACGTCACCAGGAATTAATTGCATTGTCTTGACAACCACAGTTAATGAACTTGTGTACCACTTACATTGTCCTTTTCTTTATTTTTTTTACTCTCTCGCAGGAGTGAGTAATAAACCCCTTTGTAAACACACCACTTTAAAGATGTTCCAAGCTGTAACCATCTGATTAATTGTGTCCCTTTAGCAGACTAGATTAAATTTTTCAACTTTCTGTGTGCTTAATGAATCATTGTTTTCACAACACGTACAAAATGTGATGTAAACAAAACATGCTGAGTTAGTCATGAGGCAGTCTTGTTTAGTAGAAACAAAAGAAAAAATCATGAAGTTTGAAGCCGCAATAACAACATTTTTTAGCACTGACTTTAGGACTGAAACAATCAGATTAATCATGATTATTCAATCGTTGAAATAATTTAGTAATCGATCAATCATTAACTCAAGAATAGAGACTATAAAACATGCCTTTAGCTGACAGAGCAACCCATTTACAGCAGTAATTTTACTAAAATTATAAACAAATATGTAAATATTTTGCATTTAAGATAAAAAAAAAGCCTTTTAATTTTAGTTTCACCTGCTTAAAGTAATCTTCTTTAAGTAATCTTTGCTATCCGCTAATCACAAATTAATTGAAAAGATAATCGACAGATTAATTGAATAGCAAAATAATCATTAGTTGTAGCTAGTTGATAAGACTAACTACTGTAGCTGCAAATTTGCTGCAATATATTTCTGGCTGATGTTTTTGTCACTTTTGAATGTTGGTGGTGCTTTCACACTCATGGTAGCATGAGATGGACTCTAAGACCTACACAAGGGGTTCAGGTAGTGCAGCTTATCCGGGAAGGCAAATGTGAACTGTTGAAGAAGGTTTTGCTGTGTCTTTCAACAAAGTGTTCAAAGGCTGGCGGCGCTACCAGGTGCTACAGGCCAGTACACCAAGAGATGTGGAGGAGGCCGTAGGAGGGCAGCAACTCAGCAGCAGGGCCGCTACCTCTAGAGCACAAACAGAGACCTGCAAAATAATCTCCAGCAAGCTACAAATGTGCATGCGTTTGCTCACATGATTAGAAAACAAACTCATTGAGGATGGTATGAGGGCCTGACGTCCACAGATGGAAGATGTGCTCACAGCCCAACATTGTGCAGGACGCTTGGGATTTGCCATAGAACACCAGGATTGGCAAATTCTCCACTAGTGCCCTGCGCTCTTCACAGATGAAAGCAGGTTCACACTAAGAGACATGAGACAGATGGAGCAGAGTCTGGAGACACAGAGGAGAGCAATCTGCTGCCTGCAAGACTGCATGACTGGTTTGGAAGTGGGTCAGTGATGGTGTGGGGTGGCATTTCTTTGGAGGGCCACACAGGACTCCATGTGCTCGCCAGAGGTAGCATGACTACCATTAGGTATCGAGATGAGATCCTTGTGAGACCATATGTTGGTGCGGTTGGCTCTTGGTTCCTCTTACTGCAGGACAATGTTAGACCTCATGTGGCTAGAGTGTGTCAGCAGTTTGTGCAAGATGAGGGCATTGAAGCAATGGACTGGCCCCCCCGTTCCCCTGACCGGAATCCACCTGAGCATATCTGGGACATCATGTCTCAATCCATAAACAGTCTGTGCTTGCACCACAGACTCTCCAGGAGTTGGCAGAAGCTTTATTCCAGATCTGGGAGGAGATCCCTCAGCAGATCATCCTCCACCTCATCAGGAGAATTCCTAGGCATTGTAGGGAGGTCATACAGGCACATGGAGACCACACAATACTGCGGCTCATTTTCACCTGTGTTAAGGACATAACAACAAAGTCGGATCAGCCTGTGGTGTGTTTTTCTATTTTAATTTTCTTTGTGACTCCAAATCCAGACCTTCATTGATTAAGAAATAATTTCCATTAATGATTTGTATATGACTTTGTTGTTAGCACATTCAATTCTATACAGAACAAAATATTCATTGAAAATATTTCATTCATTCAGATCTAGGATGTGTTGAGCGTTCCATGTAAATGTTTATTAAACAGTGTATATTGATACAAATAGAGAGACAGATAGATAGATAGATAGATAGATAGATAGATAGATAGATAGATGATAGATAGATAGATAGATAGATAGATAGATAGATAGATAGATAGATAGATAGATAGATTGATAGATAGATAGATAGATAGATAGATAGATAGATAGATAGATCGATGATAGATAGATAGATAGATAGATAGATAGATAGATAGATAGATAGATAGATAGATAGATAGATAGATAGATAGATAGATAGATAGATAGATAGATAGATAGATAGATAGATAGATAGATAGATAGATAGATAGATAGATAGATAGATAGAGAAAGTCTGCCATCTTAGAGTTGCAGTCTTGTTTCTATGGTCACTGCCTGTTTTGTAGTCCCAAGAAAACAGATGTGTGATTGCTAAATCTGTTGATTCAAGACATTACTTTTATTTGCTATCATCCAAAACAAAACAAAACAAAAGAACAGTAGTCTTCAGACAAATTTTGACAATACAAAATAGTTTATTGTAATGCTGGAAATGTTGATACATTGTCTAGACCTGAAAATCTGTCGCCTGTAAAAAATGTTAAATATTATTGCATTATGTTTCTCTACATCTGCATGCTGTTCTGCACAGTATGTATTGGATTTTATGGTTAAAATATTAATTATAAAGAAAACTGTGTACACAATGTTATTCAGGTCAGTTTTATTGGAAACAGTAATGTTAATCTGTAATCTCAACAAACAGACAAAAAAGTTTCCTGATAAGCTTTTGCATAAAGGAATAACAAAGTACTATCAACCAAAATCGTCATTAGGGTGCACACATTAAAAACTGCTCTAAATTATTTTATTATTGCACAGAAAATACATTTAATTTTCCGCCTACATGATCCCATCCTCTTATGTGTAAAAAGCATCTCAGTAACACGTGTTCTGTATCATGAAAATCCTCTCCAGTGAGCATGGTCGTTGTCATGGTAAACCACTAGTGTCACAATGAATTGTTGACTGGTCTTAGGTTTCAGCCTGCACAGCATCACCTCCTCTGATGCGTGACTCCTTACTGCTGCTGCCTCATTGCCTGTCTTGACTCGTTGTGTTTTCTCCTCTATTAAACTCTGAACCTGAACTGTAGCTTGCAGCCTCTGTGCAGATTCGAAGCGGGGTGTTTTGTCATGTGTTAGGCTTATTAACACAGCTGATGTTACAAGACTCATGTGGAGAGGAGAAATTTCAACTTTTTAACAGCTGTCTTGGAATAACCAACACCAAGGGCTCTTTCTTTTTTTCAGATCAGTGATTTACAATGTTGTGTTATGTTTTCAGTTCTGTGCTTATTCATTTGTTTGTATCTCAAGGGAGGCCTTTTGTCAAAAGAATTTTTTCGTATGCATCAAATTTGAGCCCAGCATTGTACTGGCTAAAAGTTGTAATTACAAGCTAAGCATTCATCATTCTTTCTCAATAGCTGATGTAGGAGCAGCAGACAATTGGCATGTGATTCATATCTTTTTTGTTATAAATCTTGGCTAAGTATGAGTTTTTCCATAACAGAAATATATTCCTGCCCTGCAAGTATTTATTCATAATCTCCGTCTGATCTTTATGCACTTTTAAGTATTTTTCAAACAAAGAACAGTTTAAAGAGATAATTTTCCTTTATGTTGAACTAGTCGTGATATCTAAAACAATAAATACTAAATAAAAAACAAGTGAACCATTGTTGTTGTAAAAATATAAATCATTTCAATGTAAACATTAAAGGCAAGCCTTTAGGTTTATAGAAATGCACAAATGACCTTTTCCGCTCACAGTAATCTCATTACAGTAATCTCTGTTGCTTGTATCAATATTCTTAGAACATAATAGTGAGTCATGATAAGACCTCCAACTGTAGTTTATTTTATTCTAAGTTTTTTTATAGACCTGCTTACAGTAGTGCCTTAATGTAACGTGGAACGAAAATGTTTGTTTGGATGTTTTCAAAATTGTATTATGTTCTGTATCCTTTAATCTGCTACCCCTAAATAAAATCAAATGTATTTACCATTGCATGGTAATTAATATCATCATTCCATTTGTTTAATTTTATTTCAGAATGAATACACTTAATTACACAGGGTTTTGTTAGGAAACATTTGGCCTCAACAGTCGGCTTCGGCAGATGGCCCCTCACAGCCTGGTTCTGCTGGAGGTTTATTCCTGTAAAAAGGGAGTTTTTCCTCTCCACTGTTACTTCAAGCATGCTTGGCGAGAGGGTTTGCCTTTGAGTCAATAAGTCGATGTAAACATCTGGTTTTACTTAGAAAACTTTGAATCAATTTTACTGTGTGATCTGGTTGAATTGTCTCTGCGGCGTGTTGTGAATTGGCGCTATGTCGATAAACTTAATTGAATAGCTCTGTTTAAAATGAAAGACATTATCCATCCATCTATTTTCTGTCACGCGTATCCCAAGTGGGGTCATGAGGGCTGTTGGTGCCTATCTCCAGCTTTCTACGGGAGAGAGGCGGGGTACACCCTGGATAGGTCACCAGTCCATCGCAGGGGAACACAGAGACAAACAGGACAAACAACCATTCATGCACACCTAAGGAGAATTTAGCGAAGCCAATTAACCTAACAGTCATGTTTTTGGACTGAGGGAGGAAGCCAGAGTACCTCGAGAGAACCCACACATGCTCAGGGAGAACATGCAATC